AAATTTAATCGAAGAAAAATTTAATAAAAATCTAATTATATATAAATAATTATATATAAATTAGAAATAATAGAAAACAGAAATTTAATTTAAGAGAAATTTAACAGAAATCTAATTTATATATATTCATATTTGTATATACAAATTAGAAATAATAGAAAACAGAAATTTACAGATACGGTATTTTGTTAAGTTTTCGTTCGGATAACAGTAACAATGTAAAAGTTACTTCGAGTCTATAATTATTAGACTGTGGACCTTTATGCAAAATAAAAACATTGTGCTTCCGTTGCAAGAAACAGGAACAGCATCGAAGCGGATGAAAGTGAACGAAGATTGCGTACCTTTACGCAAAATAAAAATTTTGTGCATCCGTTGCAAGAAACAGGAACTGCATTGAAGTGGGTGAAAGCGAATTAAGACTGGGGATTTTTATGCAAAATAAAAACTCCGTGCATCCGTTTGCAAGGAACAGGAACCGCATTGAAGTGGATGAAAGTGAACGAAGACTGCGTATCTTTACGCAAAATAAAAACGTTGTGCATCCGTTGCAAGAAACAGGTACTGCGTTAACTTTCTTTTTTCTCGTTTCGAATGATTTTAATGAGTTATAAATCATACGATCGAATTATAAAATACTTCGAACAGTGCCACAGTATTGGGTTTTATCTACTCGGATTTGTTACGAACGCGTAAAATCAGCAATCAACTAATTATGCGCATCGCTGCACATCGGTTTCGTTTTCGGTTCATAAGAACCGACGTTCACCGTGCACGTGGCACAGAACCGAAACCAAGAACCGACAAGTAACAGTTTATGGAGCCAATATAACACGAATTCCGAAGAACCGAAACCGATACAAGCCATAACCGATGTACAGTAATATCTCTCTAATTGACGCTCGGATCGTCCACGAAAAATGGACAATTTGGGAAGAGAAGATACGATTGTTCGAGCCTCGCAGCTCGTTTCTTATAGTTGTTGATAATAGCATATAGTTGTTGACTCGCACGGTACAGCAATTCTCCCCAAATTTCCTTCAGCTTGTAAACAAAGATGGACAATCGGTTATTCGAGCCTCGCGCCACGATTCTACAATTGTTGGCAATCGGCAACTACAAAAACAAATCGCGAGGCTCGAACAATCGTATCTCCTCTTCCCAAATTATCCATTTTAGTGGACAATCCGAGCGCCAGTAAGGGAGACATTACTGTACCTGGCACCTAAAGCCATAACCGTTCGAGGAACAGAGAGCGCGACAACCCTGGTTTTGCGCACACGAAGTGACGGATGCCGATGGGATTGCAAAGCGGGATGAAAGTGAATTTAATTTCTCGATAGTCGTTGGTATAATCGTTTTAAACGGGGAATCGTTTTCTGTCCGCGTTGGATACAGATTGGTCCGACCGTGCACCGTCCGATTCCCCTGGAACGCCGTAGTAGCTTCCCGCGGTAAGACTTTCGGAGGAAGAAACGCGCGTGGAATGGCTATAATAAGACGAACAGCCGCGCCGAGCAGGCAGCTCTTCGGAAAACAAGTCCTCTTAGTTAAATACTTTACGAGCGTTCGTCTCTACCATAAATCACTGGAAACGTCAGAAGCAGGCGCAGCAAGAAGAGTGATTCGTGACCATTAGAATCGCTAATAGAGACGGCCGGAAATCATTTGTTACTGTACAATTAACGGCAGATTGGATCGGCCGCGAGCCCTGTTGTGTCGAGGAATCGCGTGTAAATCGGGAGATAAGTTGCCCCGGCATCGAATTCGCCGAAGATAAGCGGCGGTGGTTGCGCGCGTAGAATCCGCGACGGCGGCGGCATAATTGCCGGTGGATTTTCCGCGTGGAAGAAAATCCGAGAGTTCCGATCATTTCTGCGTAGAACCTGCGTAGAATCGTGACCGATTCCGGTCGCTACGCCATTGAATGCTGGCCGGGTCTCGCTCTGATAACGAAAACCGGTGTTTGTGTACAAAGTCATGCTCCGGATAGAGTCGGCCGCGGGTAAAGGGACGCCGGGGAACAGAGTGTCGCGCGGACACTTCCACAGCACACGAGGTTCGGATCGAAAAGGGAGTGTTGTCCGCGATTTATGCAAATGATCCGAGACAGTGATAAATTCTGTCGTCGAACCAGTCGGGTCACCTATTCGAGCAACGCGGGGAGGAGACACGCCGAACGATTTTCCTTGTAAACAGTTAGGTCCCGCGCGGCTCTCTCGCCGTGTCCCCGTCCGCCATTGTCGACCGTCGCGAACTTTGACTTTTGTTTTTGTCTTTTTTCTTTCGTAACTCGCGGAGGCGCCGCGCGGAAGGTGAGCAGAACGATCCGAGGAATGAGTTTCGCCTTGGTCGTAATTGATTTACGATGTTCCGATCCCGCTCCCGAGGAGGAGGAATCTAAAACGATTAAGTCATCGTTCCGACCTTGCCCGTGTGTCGCGAACTATACGGAGGAGGCGCGCGCGGTTCCCGCTGGTCGTCGCTCGATCCGCTCGCGCGGCTCTCGCGACCAGAAATTTCAACCGTGTGTAATCTTTACGCATCCGTGGCCGCGTTCGCCGGATCGTTCGAAAACAAATGATTAATTGCTCCGGTTCTCTGGCGCGGACCTCGCTCGCCGCTCTCCGCTATTTTTACGGCATAACAGCTCCGGGGCACGCGTTCGCGAATCCTGCACCAGCCGGCGGATAGCCGACCAATAGAGGCTAATCGTTATCCAGCGGGGGACCCGATGCGACCAGCACGCGCGATATTTTTTGTCTTTCTCCCGAGAGCCCGACAGCAGAATTTCGCTGAACGACCGAAACGCGACACGGAAACGATGAATTAGCGTCGAACCTTATCTCGCCGACTACTCGGCACGGCTATCGATCAACAATTATAAACTTATTTTTGGTTTACGCTTACTTGCGAGTTTTTTAAGCGTATGCCTCGCTAACGATAATGCGTAATAAATTCCGAATAATTTAAAACAATCTTGCTGACGTAAACGGGAGTGCCCGACGCGCGGGCGCGATAAGAGTTAATAATAGAAAAGATTAAATAGAGCTATCGTGTCAAGAAAATGAGAAGAAAGATTTAGAAGAGGTGTTCAAAAGTCTAGCGTCGCGCGGGACAGTTTCCACTATTTATAAACGCGATTACACGTTTCCGAGATAAATGAGTAGATGGAATTTCAAACGGTAGCACTGTTTAGTTAACTGAAGTATTCCGATATTTACAACTCGTTGAAGTTCTTAAGGGAAGAATGAAGTCTTCGAGTCACTTGCGATCCTTGCAACAGACGCAGACAATTTTTATATCGCGAGAAAATCAGCAGCCTGGTGATTAAATTTAACCGTTGCATGCATCTACGCGAGGGTCAAACATTCGCGGACAACGGTTACGATGTACTTTTCAAATGCGAGACTAGATACAAATTGTCTTTAAACCCTTGCGCTACGACGAGTCATATTCGTAACGAAGATTTCATACACGATTTACTAACTATGAACGTTATCTCTTCTAAACCGACACAAAATTTGAATCATCTGTCACCGAAATCTCGAAATAAAAGAATATAGAACGAATATATATGAAGGTATAAAAGAAAGAAAATTATTGAGGACGAAAAATCGCTGATCACCGCAGTTATTAAAGAAATCGAAGTACAAAGGGTTAAGAACGAATTGCTTCGTACGAAGCTACTTCTCCGAAGTGAAATCGTAGTGCGAGGGATCAATGAAAATTCGCTTGAAACTATTTTCGAGAAACAACTACGGTAATGTCTCCCCAACTGACGCTCAGATTGTACACAAAAATGGACAATTTTGGAAGAGGAGATACGATTATTCGATCGTATCGCCTTGCGGCTCGTTTTCATAATTGTTGACAATTCGTAATTAATAATATAATTATAACAACAAAATTATATATTATATATTATAATTATTAATTAATTATATTATTATTATGATTATAATATATAAAATAAATATTATATAATATGTAATATTATAAATATATTATAATATATATTAAATATTATTATAATTAATTATATTATTAATTATATATTAATTATTATATTATAATTAATAACAACAAACCGCAAGGCACGAATAATCGTGTCTCCTCTTCCCAAATTGTCCATTTTTGTGGACAATCCGAGCGTCAATTAGAGAGACATTACTGTAGACCAGGGGTGTCAAACTCACGGCCCTTGATGAACATTTTTGATGTCAAGTATCAAGACGTAAACAATAATTTAACTTTACATATGTTTATTACAATGTACCAGTCAAAATAAAAATATTTCTTTCTATGAACATTGATTTCTTTTTTTTTTTTGCGGCCCGCCTAAAGTTAACCATTGTTTATTTGGCCCAAGTTAGCTTTTGAGTTTGACACCCCTGCTGTAGACAGCTGACCATTTCGCGAATCCCGCTAAGAATCATTTTCCGATCGATATCGTCCGCGAAGGATGAGCAAAGCTGTCGAACAGAGAAGGCAAACGATAAAAAGAAAAAAAGTGTGTACTGACCTTGTCCTTGTCGAGAACCTGGCCCGGTAGCGCGTGACCCTTGCTAGTCCATTGGCAGAGGTGTTGCCCGTTGTACTCCGAGCAAACCACGTGGAAGCACGCATGGCACTCTGTGGGACATAGAGAACCGCACATGCAGCAGCATCCGGAATTGACGCGCGCGAATTCCGCGTAGATTCTGTCGAGGGCGGCCGGCTTGACGTCCTTGACAAGAGCGCGATGCCCGCAATTGACGCCCAAGCCCTCGTGACCGATAGCGAACGAATCGACGACATTCGCCTCGGGCGCTCTGTCGCGATGGTTTCCGTAGAAAGAGGACAAAGCGGGGCCGCCGCCGCCGTTGGCCGGATAAACGCCGACCGGCGGCCGGCGCTGCAACTGCAGTTGCGCAGCGTCCTTGCAGAAGCACATGTACCGGTGGAAGGACACGGGCCTGGCGCAGGGGAACAGGCCCCTCCAGAGACGCTCGTGGTCCCTGATCAGCTCGTCGATGTTCTTACCGACGAGCTGATCGTCCGAACTGAACTTATTGTCCGTGGATTCGTGGCACCTTTCGACGCGAGCTTTGTCCGAGGGCGAGAGCAGACCCTCCCTGGCGAAGTTGACGCTCTGCGTCGCCAGGCTCGGCAACGTTAACAATTGGTGCCGGTTGTTGAAGCGATGCTTGACGGTCGCGTTGCCGTTCATGAAAGCGTTCGTGGTGGAGGGGAACGAGGAGGAATACGTGGCGATGACGGAGGCGTTGCTGCTACCGAGAGGGTGGGTTTGCTGGCTGTTGGCCGGCATGTAGCGTCTGATCGTGGGCAGCGAGAGGTTGCCCCTGGACCTGATCGGGTCCGAGGACTGGTGCATCTCGTTCGCGTAAACGATGGGCGTCGCTTTCGCGAGGTTCGTCGCTAGGGTCGTTTGGAAATCATTGTACGCGTTGTTGGTGTTGACGACGTTGGCCAGGAAGGCGCGCTGCAACGTCTGCGGCTGCAACGGCGGCGCGGACCTCGGCTCGCGGGCCGGCCTCAGCTGGGCCGAGGCGATGGCCACGCCGCCGCCGCCGCCGGTCTGGCACGTCGACGTCATCGAGGACGCGACCACGGTGGGTATCGCGGACACCACGCTCGCCACGGTCGCCACGGTCGTCACGGTGGAAGCGGTCGTCGTCCCGACGCCTTTCCGGAGCATATAATTGTCCGCGTCGACGGCTAACAGCCTCGACATGGCCGTCGACTTGGCCTTTGTGTCATCGTTTGGGTTCCCCTTCGGCGACCCGAGCTTGCTCCCGTCCGACCTGGATTTCGTCTCGGCGATCTTCTCGTGTTCGTCCCTGTCCGCGCTGCCACCCGCCGCCGTTATCGGATTAAACAGATCGTGTATCCTGCCTTGTAAGCTGACCGCAGGCTGCTGCACCTGCGAACCGGCGGTCGCAGCTGCGGCGGATGCGTTCGTCGCCCGCTTCATCGCTTGGCCCGATGCTCGCGATCATCAAATCCCTTTCTTTCACTCTTTCACTCTCTCTCTCTCTCTTTCTCGCGCGCGCGCGCTCTCTCTCTCTCCCTTACTCTCTTTCTCTCGCGCACACACACTCTCTTTTTTCCTCTTGCTCTTCCAGCTACGACTAGGTTTTATTGCGGCCGGCTTCCGCGGAAGCGCTCCCGTTCGAGCTCCGGACGATCCTGGTTTCCGGCGAGTCCTGAGCCTCGGTGGTGCCGCGTGAGTCACCCGTCATCGTCCTGGATCGACCGCGGAACTGTGGATTTCCGTCGATCACACCGTCTCGGCGATCGGCGCCGGCCGGCCGTCCTCGCTCGCTGAGATCCCGAAGCTGCTGGTCCTCGAGGAGTCGTCCAAGGTCACTAGCATCTCGCCGACATCGAGCCCCACGCGCCGCTCCCCGATAGGCTGTCCTCTTCCTCCACCTCCTCCTCCTCCACCTCCACCGCCCCCTCCCCCTCCTCTTGTTCCACCAGCGAAGACTCGTTCCCGTTCGACCCGATTTCGGGTCGTGTCCTCTTTGGTCCTAAGGCCGACGACACCGCAGATCCCGTGGACTCGGTCCGAGTTGCTGGCCCGTTCGAGGTCGCGCGAGGAAGCGACAACCAAGATGGGGATCTAATCTCTAGAAATCGGCTCCATTAATCGGGGCATCGTCGATCGCCGATCAGAAGCCGAAGGGAAACGCTTCGTCCGGTGCCCGTCGACGATTAACTTATCGGGCAACGCGCATTCGTATCTCTCCGATGAAAAGATTCCATTCGAGGCCAACGCGAGGGAAACGAGAGCCGCGCGGCTCGTTGCCGATACGAGGAACGGAGACGGCGATATTATGGAGGCTCGTTGAATTTCAACGCTAACCTCCGCGGCAGCGAAACGATCTCCAGCGATCCCGCGAGTCTCTCTCGCGCCGACTCGCGCGCGCGCTAACTCGGTCGAAGTGGAAATAGACGGATAACGCACGGCCGCGGAACAGATGAAGAAGAGAAAAATAAAAGGGAGGGGGGGGAGGGAGAGAGAGACGAACGGAGAGAAAGAGTCGCTCCCGTGGGTGTGACCTCGTGTAAATTCGTTTTCCATAAATCTCGCTCCTACCACACGCTTCTCCCTCCCTCCTCCGCACCGTGACCCTCTCTCTCTCTCTCTCTCTCTCTCTCTCGCTCTCTCTCTTTCTGTTCCTCTCTCTCCTCGTCCCTCTAGCGGTCTCTGTTACTGAACAGAGTCGCGCACACACGACCTTTGTATAAACGCCGAGATTCGCCGAGCCGAACGAAACCGGTTTCGTTAAGCAACGACACCGAACGATTTTCAGCGTACTCCCGCGCGCGTGTACACCCTCGATTGACCCTCGTGGCTCGACGGGTCCCGGAGAAGCGGTTCCCTTCGTCGATTCGATCCAATGATTTTACCAAAACGTTCGCCGTCCGAGCATAGGCCAGCGATCGAGCGATCGTTTCCGAGATCGAGGGACATGCGCTTTCGCGCGGCCGCCTCGATTCAATTCGATTCGCAGATCGGTCCTCTTCGCCTTCGTCGACTTCCGCGTGTCTGGCCGTGCCTAACCGCGGTTCCGTTTCGCACCGCGACCCAACCTTCTTGTCCGTGGATCGCGCGTAGATCCCGGCGAAGGACGGCTCCGTATCTTCGTTAACCTTCGTTTAATTGCGGCCGATACAACCGGTCTCCGAGAGCGGGCGGCTCTCTCCGTTGTCGCCTGCTGCTCTGCTGTTGCCGCTGCTCGCCGCCTAGCTAGCTAGCTAGCCTTCTCGTTAATTCGAGACGAGTTTAGGTTTAGCGCAACGGGTCTCGTATTACCATGGCCGAGCAGAATATCCTCGGCTGAAAACGTGACCGAGAGCCGACGCGTATCTCGGTCAGCCGATTTCTCCGATCCCTCGCAGTCTGCGCTATCCGGTGGTCGGGCCGATCCGTGGCACACGGTGTGTTTTCGGTGTCGGTTCGCGAGAGAGCACGTTGATCACGGAACGCGCACAGATCAGCGCTCTCGCCCTTATCACGAGCACGGCAAGTTCGCGACTGGTGCGTCTCCGCCGACTGTCCGTCAGCGATCCTCCTCGCTAGATCACTGGGTGGAGGCACGTTACCGGCAGCGAGTAGCCCGGTCGCGTCGGTAAAGCAGACCGTCGCCGGACTGGTTCTCGCTGTCTCGTTCCGCGTCTCGCGGCACGTGCACACTCCTCGCTTCTTCTATCCGGTTCCGACGCGAGCACCTCGATTATTCCTCTTCCGTTTCGCTCCGTTCAGAGCCCCGTCCGGCTTCGGGGGCTCCGTCGATAAAACTTGCCCGCGCGAGGTTCGCGACACACCAACCCCACCGACGATACCCGAGCTTCCCGGCACCCTACGCAACCGGGCGAAGGGAAATAATCCACTCGAAACGCTCTTTCTCTCGTCTCGCCGATATCGCGGCCGGAACGCACCGACGTTTATACGCGCCTCCTCGTCGAGGCAGCGCACGCACCACGGGATGGAAAAGTCCACTGGGCACTGCACTTTTTGCACCGGCGGCCTGCACCACGCGCACACCTGCACACACGTCACTCCGTGCACATACGTGCACGACACCTATCCGCCTGTCCGTCTCGCTCTCGCTCTCGCGCTGCCACTGCGTCCCTATCGCTCCGGTATCCTCTCTCTCGCCCCTTCTACGCCGGACTCTCCCTCTTTCTCGCTCGCTGCCCCCTCCACTGTTCCCTTCCTCGTCGCGCACACGGATCCGCTGTCCTCTATTCTTTCCACTCTTCCCCTGGCGAGCGCACAGCCGGTCTACACGCCGACTGGCAACCGTGGGCCAAGTCTCGAACTTCTTTCCCCTTTTTTCTCTCTGCCTCTATCTCTCTCCCTCCTGCTCGCACACACGCGCTAGAGCTCTCTCTCTCTCTCTCTACCTCTTTCTCTTTCTCTCTGCCCGGTTTCTTCCCGGTTCTCTCGGTTGCTACCTCCGTCTCGCTCGCACCGTGTTCTCCTATCTCGACTTTTATCTCTCGCTGAGCGTGCACCGAAGAACGGTCCCAAGAAGTTTTCGGCTTTCACTCGTTCGCGAGAGCAGCAGCGTCTTCGTTATTCTCTCGGAAGAACGCTGCCTCCCGTCTCCGCCGACCAGCAGAACGATCTATGTGTTCCTCTCGACGCCGAACCCTTTTTCCCGGCTCCTCTTTCCGCACGACTCTCTGTTGCCACCGTTCCTCTTTCTCTCTCTCTCTCTTTGTTCTCACTCCGTCTCTTTCTCTCTCTTTTTCTCGCTCTCGGGCCGATCGTTCGGTGTGTCAAGCAATTCCGCTCCGGCCGAGACACACGGCTGTCTTTCACTGGTTTTTATTACGGACACCACACGCGCCGATTCCCCACTGTGTGTAGGCAGTTGCCATCCGCCGCACGATTCACCACGATCCCCTGCCAGAGAGAATATCCTCTTCTCCGGCGGCTCGGCGCACAGCTGACCGGCCGGTCCGCCAAGTTCGGTCAATAGCCATAGCAGTCGCAGCCTATCGAGGGTAGCTCGTGCTCGACCGTCGGCGTTGCGACTCGGCCGGTTCCGCCTTGTTTCGGCCGTTTCCGTGCCCTTTACGCGGCGCCACCGGCGTGCCGAGTCGCTCGCGGGCCCCCGGGCACCCGCGAGCCGATCGAAGCCGGGCTTCGTGGAAATTTCTGGCCGCCGCCGTCGTTTCACGCTTCGAAGCCCGTCCTCGAGCTTCGTCCGCCACGGATTTCCCCACGACCGACGACCTAACCGGTACAGGTGACAACGAGAAGAAACGCGATATCGGTGATCTTCGGAGGGTTGAAATTTTCGGGACGCCGGGGAATTTCGGTTTCCCGTCGGATTTCGGGGTTAATATCGCTCCGTCGATCGCGATCGGTCTGTCGCGGGCTCGGGCTTGCTCTTATCTAGGCCCGATAAAGTCCGCAACGGGCGCATCTGCCGGCGATTTTCCGCGACGGAACAGATCGGCTCTGCGCGCGATAGAAAAAAAAAAGTCGCCGAACGAGGAAACGCACCGGCGATAAGCCCGTAGTATTCGTGACTAAATCGAGCCGGGCCGACACCGTGCGTGGGAGATACCGTGTCCCTCGGTGAACAAAAGAACGGTGTCTCCCCCCCTCCCCTCCCTCTTTTTGAAACGATGATCGTTCGTGTCAAGCGTAGATCCTTCGCGCCGGTGATTCAGAGATCCGAAACAGATAGAAATTCCATCGGCGCGGAGGCGTAAAAATAAACCGACAATACGGCGGATTGCGGCGACCGGTGAACCGCTCGGAACCCTCGAAAATTTCAATGGGCGAAATTGGAAGGAACACCCCCGCGCCCTCGCGCCGCCAAGGAAAAAGAAATCAAAGGCGCTATTCCCTTCTCGCGTGTCGTAAATGTCAATGCTGACGGGGCTAGAATCAGATTTCATTCTTTACGATCCTCTTTCTCTCTGCCTACACCCCCTTGCTCGCACTCTCTCCCTCTCTATCTCTCTCTCTCTTTCTCTCTCGCACGCTCACTCTCACTCTTTCTCCCAGCGTTGTTATCGCGAAAGCAACCGCTGCGTGCGATACGTTCAAGTGCGTACGCACGTGCTCTCGCGCGCACCAAGGGCCTCCGGCACTCGAGTCACATGAAAGGGCCGCGCGTGGTGTACTCGAAAGGGAAGAAAGGGACGTGAAAGTGAAAAGCGACTTTCCAAGGTAAAAGAGGCGAGGGGGCCGTCGGGGGTTGGCGCCGGGGACGAGGGCCGGTGGGGGAGGGGCGGAAAAGAGACGGCGATACACAAGGATCCCCGGACATAGGATGATCGAATCCGGTCGCGCAGCCGCACTCGCCCCGACGTGTCCTGTTCAAGGTCACCGGCGACCACCGTGCCAACCCTTCGCCCTGCATAAGCATCGCCGGGACCGATCGATTTCCCGTCGAAAAGCCAATTGATAGACCCTTTCAAGGTTTCGACGGGGCTCGGATTAAATTGTAGCCGACGGTTATTTTGACAGAATCCCGGGCACTCGACGGTCGCCGTTGCCTACCGGTGTTCTTTCGATGCCCCTGCGTCGACCAAACACCCCGGGCGAAGTCTAACGAGCCACCGTGTCGTTCGTTCGTGTGGTACAACGTCTAACCGGGGAACTCGTCGAATCTCGGCAACCTTGATTTTCTTCTCGGGACTCCGCGAGAAAGCAGGGTGGAAGTATCTAATGCTGTTAAATACTCTAATCGTCGTCCATCCTTTGCGATTATGACTTGGATTATTTCTTGGATCGGAGCTGGGACTTGCGATATAGACTACGGATGTTTATGCAAAATGCAAACTTTCGTCGTGAAGCGTCGCGAACAGGAACCAGATAGAATGTTCGTCCTCTTTTTGACCTGTTTAGTCATTCGCATAATCTCTGCACAGTTCCGAAATTTCATCGACCTATTATTATCATAATTCCATAAA